ATGTAATACAAAAACTTTTTGAAAAATATAAATATAATAAAAATGGATTTAAGTAATAATGATGATGATGGAAAAGTTTTAGATGAAACTTCTAATGCTGCCACAATTACAATTGATGATGATGATGACAATAATAAACCCTCTAATAATAATAATGAAATTGAAAAGAATGAAAATGAAAATGAAAATGAAAATGAAAAAAAATTTGCCAAAGGACTTATGGATTTATTTAAACCATTAATTGAAGAAATGGATTCAAGTGTTGTTGCAGTGAAATCTAGTCAAATTGAATTAAATAAAGAAATTGAGTGGTTAACTGCAGGTTTGGCATCAAGAATAATTACTGACCACAAGTCAATTTATATATTTTTAGCATAAATATTAATTGAACTGTTTGTTCATGTTGTCCAGAACTTCAATTGTTCATTGAAGCAACAAAACCACCACAAATCCAAACTTCTATTCAAAAATTAATTAATGCAAGAAAATGTTTACTTATTACAAACCAAATTCTGAAATTAGTTCATCATTGTATTATTAAAATGCATACACAACTTAGCAAAGAGAAATCATAAATTCTTTAAATATAAAAATATATTTATTTAACCTATTTATTTAATCAACAATTTGAACTAATTTATATTCAGATTTTCCAACTCTTAAAATGCAAACAACATCATCAAAAAAATCATTAATTTCAATCAAATATTTCACATCTTCAATTCTAACATTATTCAAATACAATCCACCTGATTTTATTACTTTGTATGACTCACTACGTGACTTACATACACCTGATAATACCAACAATTTATCTATTGTGCTGTTTATCACTGAGGTTTTTGATAGTTTAATTAGTTGATTCTTGTTGTTTTCAAATGTTGATAATAATAATTGAGAATTTATTATTTCTGGAGAATTAAATAAAATTTTTGTTGATAATTTTGCCTCATTTAAACCTGATTCTTTTTTAAAAATTAAAAAATGTCAATAATAATAATACTAATAATTTATTTAAATCTAAATAACACTTACTTCCATGTACCAATTCTGTTACTTCAGATGCTAATATTTCTTGTCCATAATGAGCTTCTGGTGATTGCTATATTAAAGTAGATATATATTTATATAAAATAGTATAAATAAATTTATACAAATATCCAGATATATGTGTATAGGACTTTTCAATGGAAATGAACCATACTCCCAAAAATGCAGTTTTGAGTTAGATTACCATTATATGTGTAGGAATTTTTTGGCTTAGAAACCATACATACTCACTTTGCATGATGATATTTTCAAAATCAATAACAAAAAAATTGCTAATTTTTCTCAAAAAACTATTTTGTAGAGCATGGTTCATTTTTACTGAAAATCATTTATATGTATATTTACCATATGTTTTTCTATAATTTTTTTAATTTCTGTCAAATCCAAAAGTGTAAACATTTGAAGATATTTTTTTAAATCTAGATCAGTTACTTTCATAAAATACTGTTTTAAAAAAATATGTGAACATAAATATTAATTATCCATAATAAATATAATAATAGTGATGATGATGATGATGATGATGATGATACCTGATAAAATTCATAAGGAGTTGTCAATTCATCATCTAACCAAATTGCATTACCAGCTGATTTACCAAATTTT